GCTAAGCGGAATAAGTTGTTGGCCCGGGAGGTCGTCCATCAAGACAGAGTCTACGCCAAGACTTTAAGGTCTGTTCCCAAACATTTGAGCAGTGTTGCAGAAACACAATGCATTGACCGACACTGGCGGTCGGTCAAAGAGTTCATTGGTGCCACGTTCCCAAGAAAGATCAAAGGTCTGCTTGGATCAAAAGGTCACCCAGGAAAACCCGACCTTGTGCACCTGTGGCTGTACAGATCTTGGTATTGCTCTGAAACTCCTGCTTGTGTATACGAAGACTTGACGCACTTGTGGCAGCAAAGGTGATAGAATGAAGTAGTTTGTCCGGACTTTTTGGGTCATGCATTTTCGCACGAAAACAAAAATTCATTGTAAAAACCAATACGAACACAACCTCTCATGATGCTAAAACGCAGCGGCGTTCTATCAGCCGCCTACCTAGTTGGTTTTTCTCAAACTTTTAGTGACTACTGGCGCTTGGGCAAAATGCAGTTTGCTGCTTGGGCAAAATGTGTCGCTCCTGCGCCGTGGCCCAGCAGGCGGAACGTGGCTGGGTCTACGGAGAGTTCGGGGCTTGGTGGAGAATCGGTCGGCGAGCGGGGATGACTCTCGATCGACTGAGGCGGCTTGGAGGTGACCGTCCGAGCGACAAGCTTTGTGACGGCTGGTTGCCGAAGAAGGCAGGCCTCAATGTTCTTTTCAAAAAAACCAAGGAACCAAATGATTAGTGCGAGCGCTTCTTCAAGGAAACTGCCCCCGGCTCTCAGATAGGGGGAGCTTCCTTGAAGAAACGTGAGCTGGCTATCCTGTTTCTAGTAGCTAGCAACATTCTACTTAATCGCTACCAGTAGCTTGTCTCTTATAGCGGCCTACCTCCCCGGGCCAAAAATACAAAAGAGAACGACCGATGGAGCACTCGGTCTGAAGAGTTTTGACTCGTCTCATTCGCATGCTGTGACTCTGAGGTGTTGGATTACATCCAGGCATAGCCGCGGCTGTGGTGAGCTGCGTTCGGGCTGCTGGCTGTTGCCAACAGTTTTGCAAGCCTGTACATTGTAGATAGGCTAGCCGGAGGCATTTCTCGGGGGTGAAAGCCGAAGTTTTGGTTGCAAAATTCATCAATAGATCTACCAGTCATTTGTGGATCTGATTGAGCATGTGGTTTTGGTTGGTTTTGTTCTTCGCATGATGGGTCTTGATGAGGAATAGGGGTCAAATACGTTTGCTCCGGGGGTGCCTTTGGCTAGACGTAGCCAGACGGAGGGAAGCTTGCCCTTTTTGAACAAGCTTACACCTTGAAAGATTAGATTTGGCAAGTAGAATATGTTTTGCTTGTGCCAGGGCCGCCATCAAATGTTTTTCGTGTAAGAGTTGTAGCTTTGAAAACCCTTTGTTTGTTGCAAAAGAAGTAGGTGGCCAGAGTTCAAGACGATGAGACTGAAGCCTTTACATGTCTACTCCTTGGCAAAGCTAGGGAGCAAGATGGTTTCGCCGCTTGATGGCTTAGTTCACAGAAAACAGCCCCACTTGTTCATGGGAATGGTAAAGATTCGGGCCATCAACAATTCAGCTGGCAAGGTTCAGCCACTCCGTTGAGAGCTTACTATACTATATACATCTATATACATTTTGGTGGCACTATCACTTTGCAAAGATAATGTCTTGAGCTTCTCGACAGAGATATGAGTTGAAGCATAGATGCTCTATGCGCCCCGGTGAAAATAGTGCTTTTCTGACGCCGTGGAAACAGACGAGAAGCGGAAGAGCGGATTGAGCCACAAGTCAGAGAATCTCACATTGCTGCTCGCAAGAATTTGCTCTCTCCATAGCTGCATCGTATGGAAGTATGACAGACCCAGCAGGCAAGATCCAGCAACCCATGCACAAGGTTGCACAAGGCCGTGACAGGACCAGCTCATTTTCCTTTGAATACATTTGTTGCACTGAATACATTTGAGTTCAGGAATGAAAACATCCGGCTTTGCTCAAGTGTTCTCAGTAGCATTTTAGGCCTCTAAGGGCCAAAAGAACATGGTGATGGGGATGAAAAGAAGTTGCAAACCGAAGAAGTTATGTGCTCAGGGGGGCTGATTTAGGATTTGCAAGGATGGGTTTGAAGAGTGCTTTTGGTCACAAGGCAGTTTGCTGACATTTGCCGATACTTCGCACACAAGGATCTGCAATTGCTTTGTTTGAGCTTTAGCAATCGCAGCGATCACAAGACTTCTCCAGCCATGCATCTCACCATTTTGGCGGGTGAGTTAGTCAAAAGACCGTTTTGGCGTATCCCAGCTCTAGCCATCTCACTGCGAACTAAGGCCCCAACACCTTCCAGCTACATCCTTTGAAACGCCTCACCCAGGACAATCAAGAAACTGTCACAGTTCCACAGATCACGAAGAGACGCAACAGCTTAGTGTTAGCTTCTGCAGCTCTGCTTGGGACAAGAATCAACCTACAAAGACCTGGATGGCTGACGTTTCAGGACAAGTTTCAAGTTTGTTGGGCAGAAATGGCATTGGCAAATCAGCAACCTTGTGTGCGCGCTCAGCTGCATTAACAGATACAGCATGGAAAGCAGAGTTCCTCAATCGCAACAGTTTGTGTGTGTGTGTGGTCCAACCATTCCATTTGTCTTGCAGTTGGCCCAAGCACCGCAACCGGCCTTGCGCATGCTGTGCCGGAACTCACGACGTGAAAGGAATGGAGAGTGCCGATGTGCTGCAGTGCCCGCTGTGGGTGTCCTTCGAGGATGACTCAGGACATGTGCTCCGGCACTGACGAAATCCTCCGGCAAAAAGGGCGGTTCCAACCCCATGTTCGACAGACATTTCTCATTGGAAGTCTGATGTTGTGCGACACCTGGGTGCAGAAAGGGAAGAATAGTCCCTTCGTTTCCCAAAAGATCGGCAGACTGCCTCACAGGACAAACCTACTTTCTGAATGTGGAATCCGGCGAGTTTAAGTCTTCAGACCCAGATCCAGATGGAGAGCAAAAGATGAACTTGGAGAGCGACGAAGGTGGGGAGACGAGCTGAGCAGCTGAGACGAGCGATGACGTCTCGTGGACGTACCCAAGATGAACGCACCCAGAAAGACAAAAGAAGCACGATTGTTTTGGGGTCTTGGTTTGTTCATGGTTTGAGAGCAAATGCACTGGACCCAAGAGTTTGACATTTGTCAAGCAACACTGCCATTACGGGTTGATAACTACGAGGACGCTTCAATTAAATTGTAAAGCAGTCAAAACTGGACCTTGAGAGGTTCCGATGCTTGTCTAGGTAGAACAGCCTCAGGCCGATACGCAGTTACCTCCGCCTCCAACGGTCGTTTTGTTTTGGAGAGTAATACCAATAGGTGGTTCGAACGCACCCCCCTTCCGGTGATGTCGACTCCGGAAACGGATTTGTAAGCTGTGTCAGTCACCTTCAACCTGCAGAGCTGTGCTTCCGAAGCTGTGCTCGGTTCGATCCGCTCCGACCGGTCACTCGATGCCAGGGGAAGTCAAGAGGATGGATGCCAATACCTGTTGTAGCTGCCAAGCTCCATTTCCCGTTGTCGATGCCAGCAAGCCTTCCATGCTGGAAATCGAAGATCACAAGAAATGGATGAAGACAGCGGCTAGAGTTCAAGTTCCTTACAATCCCGAGGTCCCACAGTACGTGGAGGGACATGAAGATTACAATATTTGGTACGGTAAGTACCTGTCCGATCGCAGAAATCCGAAAGACAAAGACAGATATTCAGCTGGGTACACATGTGATCCTGAGAAAGATTCTGGCTGGACGCAGGCTGATCAGCCAGGCTCCGGAAGCCCAGGCTTTTGCCTGTTCTTTGCTCGCGGCTGTTGTGGCTTTGGGCACAAGTGTCGGTATTTTCACCATGTGCCCACAGTCCTTGACATGGCCTCAGCAGATGAAGCACATGACATTTTCGGCAGGGAACGCTTCTCGCAGCATCGTGATGACATGGGTGGTGTTGGCAGTTTCAATGATAGTTGCACTACTCTCTTTGTGGGTGATTTGATGTTTGACAGAACGGCCCCTGATGCAGTCGAGCAGGTGCAGCGTGAGATAGAGTTGCAGTTCCGCAAGTGGGGTGATGTTGAAGACATCAGGGTGGTTTCTTCAAAAGCAATTGCTTTTGTCAGATACACATGGCGCTGCTGCGCAGAGTTTGCCAAAGAGGCTATGGCAGGCCAGAGGCTAGGCAAGTCAAAGTGCATTGTGGTGAATTGGGCGAGGGATGACCCCCGCCCCGATGCAAAGAAGCGTCGCACCAGAGAAGCCAAGGAACAGGTTGACGCGGCTCTGGCGAACAAAGCAGCAGCACTTGGATGGACAAAGCCGGAAATAGCAGCGATCAATTCACGCGTGAAGCCAGACCAAATCGGGCCAGTAGGACCATACCCGGATACTGATTCTCAATTTCGGGCACAGAAACATGTTGAAGGTGTAGTTCAACAACTTGCTCAAGATGCCGCTCAGAGTGAAGCAGATGTGATTCAAAGAGCAGCAGAGTCAAACCTGCGCAAATTGGAAAGCGCTTTCTCTCGGATTCAGCCTTTGGGAGGAACAGAGTAAAAGGGTGCGGAGTGGCAGTAGCCTTTGGAGACTGTAGAAACAAGCACCTTAAGTTGATTGCATGGCTTTTGGACCATGATACAAAGCTTGACAACACTCTTCGTCACATGCGCCTCTGTCTAGGTTTTGGCCAGTAAATTGGAATCCTTCGACAATCCTCCAAAGTGGCAGGTGCGGCTTGGTGTTTCCACTCCTCAATCTTCCAACGTTGGCTTTGGCAACAAACACTTCAGTGTTGAAGGGTCTGGAAAACAAATAGATTACTCGATGAAGTCAGCCAAAGAAGCGGGCGGACAGATATGAATAGGTGAAGTCGTGACTGCGAAAAGACATGACTGACATGAAACAAAAAGGAGGTGCAAATGTGATGGGTAGTCACCAGGATAGATGCGTAGTTAGACTGAAGCGGGACATGAACAACATTGAGGCAATTGGTTTGCCGGTGCAAGCTGTAGGCTTTGCAGAAAATAATCACGTACAAAGTTCAATAGAAGAATACATACCTCCAAATCCTTCCAAGTACAAGACGCGCTAGTAGCAAGCTCCATGAAGCAGCGATGCATGGAAATCATGTTCCCGATACAATCACAGACCACCAAGGGTCAACATCTTGAAAGTGATCATAGTCAGCGAGTGGTTTTGGAATCTCAAAATCCCGTTACTAGGTGCACTAAGTCTGAACATCAGTCATGTGATGCTGAAAATGCATCACAGAACATTTGACACTGCTAGCATTTCCTGTTTGATGTATTGTTGTGGCATCAACAAACTTATACCCCTATCAAGCAGCGTACAGTGGTGGTTTTGCACAGCATGCGAACTTGAGCGTGAACGGAACCGGCAAACCTCAAAAGAGTTAAAGCGAGCGATCCAGCCACTTGAATTTGATTTTAGGCAGTGATGTGGAACTTCATTGAAACATATTGTTTATGCAGTGATACTTACCCTTGTTGACGCCATCTGAAGAAGACGATCGGGTGGAAACCGCAAACTGGTCAACGCATCATAATCTTTCACCCAGACTCCACAAAGGACAACTGAACAGATAATGGTACCAACTCGGAAAACAATGACATCAAATACATCCTCTCGTGCCCACAAGGTGAGGGCAAGATAAGTTGACAAGGTGAGGGCAAATTGTTAGGTTTAGCAGTTTAGCTTCATTCTGGACTGTCCGAAGTCTACCCGAAGCAAAGAACTCTGCCCCTGGCCCAAAGTCTAAACTGAGGCCACCATCCAAAATTGGCAGCCGCAGCGAGGCCACTTGATATGTCGAGTGTCCCCAATATAGAAGCAGCATTGGCTACCTGCGCAACAGCAACCTGGGTGCCGTCGGCATTTATCTGAACTGCCCAAACAGCACCCAGAGTGCTGTCGGGGGTGGCACTTCCTAGATATCGCAGCCGCTGTCAGGACAGGTGGCACGCTGGCTTGTGTCACTTATATATCTATTTATTGTTTTTGTGAGTTTAATTGATTTTCTTCTACTTCCTCAGCTGAGTGCGGATGTTGAGATTTGTGGTCAAAGCGCAGCAACATCCTGCAAATGTGCCTGAGAATGCATGTTTGTAGCTTTTTGTATAAGTCCAAATTCGACGCATTCTACCAAGAGGGTGGAACAGCGTTTCATTTTGGAGCTTTGCAGAACTTTGCATGGCCATGGAACTTTGGTGAACATGACGTTTGGAGGTCGAAATTGAATTTATCCATTCAAAACTTCTCTCGATGCTCTTCCATCCATCCCCAGAGACATTTCTACCACACAGGTGACCGTGTACGTCAAATGCTTCCAGTGGCGGCTTTTCACGGCGATGAGTCGATATGAGTCGATTGAGAAACTCTTTGCAAGGCTGTTTGGCCATGGACGGATGCCGCTGGAAACTGTGAAACTGTGGCCTGGGAGCTGTATGCATTTTGGACTTGAGAAAAACACCATGTGCGCTCTCATACGAGAGAAGTTTTTCGACGGACAATGGTGATTTCTTCCAATCATTGGCTAGTGCTTTAGAATGAAGAGTGAAGCAAAAGCACCTGGAGCATGGTAAAGTGCTTTTCCATCCAAGCGGCTGTTTGGACCAATTCGGCCTTCGTCGAAGCCCAGACCCATCACTCTTCGATCGCTGTTCGGAGTTCAGTAGGCGTGCAAGTTGAGTTCAAAGCCAGAATCGTAAAGTCCAGTTCTCATCGCATTGGCTCTCAGCGTTCGTCCATGAGGTCCATGAGCTTCATTCATCAACTGTGTCCACAGATTGATACGACAGTGCGAGGCGTAGAGGCGTAGAGGCAGTTTGAAAGACAGTATACACAGTCATAGCTACATCGCCAAGACAGACTTGTGGAACAGACTCAGCCGGCGAGATCCAGCAACTTGTGCACCAGGCCCAGGCCAACTCATTTTTCTTTGGAATGTACTTGACACGCGAACAAATCTGGCTGTTGTGTACACATGGGCAACCAATCGCAACAACTTACTGTCATGAGTTCCACTGACAGAGATCTCACTGTTTGCTTTGTTCTAGAAACGTGCGATAAGAAACGAGATCGACGCAAGCAGTGCGTCTTCGAAGCAGGTCGAAGATGGGCAAGAAGGCTAAAGAAAGTGGTGGTGGTGAGGATGATGAGAAGAAACTGCGAATTGCCATTGTCAACTCAGACCGTTGCAAACCGAAGAAGTGGCGTCCTCAAGGGTGATGTGGGACTTTCAAGGAAGGGTTTGAAGAGCGTTGAAATCGTCGGAAGGCAGTCTCTAAGAACGACCATAGTACGGATTTCCGGTTCGCACAGCTGATCAGGTGCAAAGCAGAATGCAAGACCCATTGCCCAGTGGTGCGAACTGGAAAGCTTTGCGTAGAGGCAGAGTGGTGATGGAGCGAGCCCTGATGTTTCCGCTTGAGAAATCTCAGGTGAACAGAGACTCAAAGATTAGTTGGATATCCGAGACCCTTTGCATTGGTGCCAGACTCATACTGAAGATCACAGAAGCGCAGTCCGATTGGTTTGAGAACCTTCATGCCTGTGATCGCAAAGCTTCGCCATTTCCTTGTCGAGGTTGTGGTATTTGCGTGAAGAAGTGCCCCTTCGAGGCGCGTGTTGTTGATCCACACTGCACACTAGAAAAACCTATTCATCCTGCCGTGCAAGCTGGAGAAAAACCTATCTTAATTGCCTAGCTATTAGAGTTTTGAGGCGACCGAAGCTAATTTGAGTTTTGTACTTGTTCTTTCCTGGCCATAGAAAAACACCATTTGATGGTGAGTACCAAAGGCGATCACCATTATCAACCTGCCAAAGGCCAGGGATCGACGCCGATCACAAGTGATCTTCGACTTCCAGACCGAAGATACAAACAAGCAGCACAAACAATGCTTTGCAACACGCAGCACAAACTTTGTATACCTTTCAGTGTTGATGACATAGCAAAGAATGAGTGAGAGATGCTCCATATCGTCAAGTGATTGCAATTGCAGGATTTGTCCAGTCACACAACGCACCGATATGGCCTATTTCTCAGTATGGGTATACATACAGATGATAGAAAAGAAGCAGGTATCTCAGCACTCTCGACCTTGTTTCACTCAGGTCCGAATACATTCAAACTTCATCGTTTGCCAACACCTCGCCCAGGACCTTTGCTGAGAGGAGGAAATAATGTAATGCTAGCAGAACTGTTTGCTTGTTTTTATATTTTTTTTCGGTTGAAGTTGTGTCATGCCTCTGAAATCTCAGGACAAGTTCTAGGTCTCGTGGGCACGAATGGCATCGGCAAATCGACGGCCTTGATGGCACGCTCGGCTGCATCACAATGGAAAACAAAAACACTCCGATTGCTGCCTTTGTGTGCCACAAAGTAAAAGGGTGCGGGAAGTCACAGCAATGTGAATGAGAATAAATCAGCAATGCTGCAATGCTGGTGCAGATTGACCAATCACCAGCCTCAGCAATTGCCAGCTGGGAGAGCTTTAGGTATTGGCTGGGAAATTGAAGCCCAACCTGGGACGCTTCGACAATCCTCCTGACTGGCAGGTGCGCCATGTGCCTGGCATTTGCACTCTCTGCATAACATGTTGAATTTGGGTAGCCCTCTTTCGAGGCTTGCTCTAGCCAAAAACGCAGGTTCGTTTCAAGTGTCCGCGTTTCTTTGTTCATCATAGAATCGCTTTATGGATGATCATAGAATGACTGAAGTACCTGGCACTGCCTTTCTCCACTGTGCTGCAAAATCTCCTCCACAAGGCTGCCACAAAATTTTGTGGTTGGTTAAGCCAGAATGTTGAGCAACACAGGGAGTCTGAAAGGGGGTTTATGAAGAGTTACTTGTCCTCATAACAAGTTTTCCATGCAGACCCACTAGCATCGAATCTTTCTTCTCATAAAAAGGATTCCCAAATGCAAGTAAAACATCCAAAGCCTGGGCGCAGCTAGCTAGAGCACTATTCCCAAGAAACTGAAGGCTGAGCGCTCTTTCTTTGAACCAAAACCCTTCAGCCACCCCCCCGGTCAATCAATTGACAGCGTCCCTGGGTGATTCAAACTCTCACAATGAAGTAAAAAGCATGGATCCTGTGAAAAACTACACGGTTCATGCAAGTTGGGGGCTGGAAGTCGGAAGCCCCCAAACAAGCGGTAGACAACAAGAGGACGAACACTACTGTACAACGTGACCCTTTGCAGTGCCTCTGATAAGGGGTGCCAGACAGTGAAAGGTATGAACACCAACGAACCAGTTGAGGGTCTCCCTCGCTTCCATCCTCCCCATGTTATTGGAGAATTGACCTACTCCCAACGACAGGTTCTTCACTTTATTAATGACAAAAATGAGACATTCTTCACCCATGGACAATCGGCAGGAGATCATCCAGCATTTCAGAGGGAGCGAGCTGCAGACGTGCGCCGTAGAAAGAAACCAGCCTTGGAAGGGTTGGACGAGACGCGCATGAGCACGGGCAAGAGTTAATCGACATCTTGCTACAATATACACGTGCCTCCAAACTCGAATGTTTGCGAAGCTGCTAGATTGAAAGCACAATGGGAAGGCAAGCCAGAGAACTAGAAGAGAGGTAATGTTGATATGGAATGAGCGAGGTTCTTTCTGTGTTTAAGCAATATGATTATGCTTTTAATATGCTACTCTTAGTTGAAAGCATCACTAGCATTTCTTTTTAGCAACAACAACCACAACAACAACAACAACAACAACAACAACATCAAACGAAGAACCCAATGCTTAGGAACTCCAACCGATGTGCTTGTCCGAGCTACCGTCCATGACTCATGCTGCGATTGGAAGAGAAACGCGAGAGGTATATCAAAGGCATGCTTGAGGACAGGCTCAAAGCGATGATCAAGCCACAGTGACTTGGATGCCCGCAAACGCATCAATCAATGATAAATCCCAAGGCAAACGCGTCGATTTTTCTTTCGTACGCAGATGTTGTTGGGTTGTGGATGATGTGCAGACTCAGATCTTGTTTTCGCTGAGGTATGTAGACAAGCTACCAAAGCAGATTTCTGGCTCAGTTGCCGAGATTCTCGGAATGAAGGATGAGAAAAAGATGCAGGAGATCTTATGAGCGAGAGAGATAGAGATAGAGATAGAGATAGAGATAGAGATGGAGATGGAGATGGAGATGGAGATGGAGGCGGAGATGGAGATGGAGATGGAGATGGAG